AGCCGTGTTTTTGCCATTCGTTTAATACAGAGTTTTGACGCTCGGCTCTGCTGCGATACTCGTCCTCGGAAAACCCGTCCAGCAACAAAATGGCAGCGCTTTCCGCCCGCATGGCGCTCTCGCGCGGCCTGCTTCACCGTGTGCCAACTAACCTTGCACGCTGTACGTTAAGAAAAAGTCGTTACTGATCTCTTGGGCTCAAGACAACTGCGCGCTTGGCTCAATCTCGCATCTGTGTGAGGCGAGGTGGAAAGGGCTGAGCGCTCAAGGATGTGTTGTACTCATGAGATGACTCTTGTCACAATGCTTCTGCAGCGGCTGTGCGCTCCATGGCTCCCGTGCGCGCCATGAGCGTCAAGGTTGATGAGCGTCACATTGGTGACTATCCCGACTTTAAGGTCGTCAACGCACAGGTGCGTCGCAGCTCACTTGTCTTTGCACGCCTCGTGGCGGCTCGTCAAGTTGGCGCAACAAGGGCCACAAGGTTTTGAAGAGCTTAGCTTGATGCTCACGTGTTCCTATTTGGGACCTTCTTCAGACCAAGGCACCATGGGGCTTTTGGGACAAGCAAGACCGCCGCAACTTCAACGAGACGGTGTGTACACCTTGCTCAGGATTGCTACGACCCATCCGCACAGTGCATTGCCTTGTCACTTGCTGAGCACTCACATTGATATTCCGTGTTTGCAATGGACATACTATGCCTCGGCTTTGACTCGCCCAGCTTCACGAAGACGATGAGATTCACTCAGTGTGGAGCCCCGACGTCGTCTACGCCAACAACCGTGTCAAGGAGTAAGTCTGTTTTTGGGAGGAAAAAATATCCAATAAACTCGTGCGTGCGCACACACACGCACACGCACCATTCGTACACGCAATGTTCCATTGCTGTGCGAACCTGTCAGACTAGATGTGCTGTACGTGCGCTCATCAACTGAACCTTTTTGTGTTCATGTTCTGTGCTCTAGCTCCAATGCTCTGCTCCAGCTGCTCATGCTTTTGGCGGTGCTGGCGGGAGTCTATCAGCTGGCCAAGGCCATCAACTCGCCCGAGAAGCGACCGGTTGAGAACCGGGAAAAGCTCATTCCCGCCCAGCTTCAATAGATTTCGTTTCGAGCGAGCAATTGTCTCGTCGTGCCTTGCCGTCTTGTCTCGTTTTTTTCTTTTTTCTTTTTCCCTCGATGCCCGCGACCTGTCGTCCAAGGCCCTCTGGAAGTGGTCTGCGACAATAACTGTGCCCCCGGTGGTTGATTGGCCACATGATTCGTAGTGTTGCAACCCTGATACCCTCGTCCATCCCGTTTGCCCGTGTTTTCATTTGCCCCATCCTCCTCCCCTTCACAATCAACCCAAGATGATCCCTGAAGCTGCCTTTTGCGCCACCCCAAAAATCTGACAACGATCCATCACGAAGAAACCACCTATAAATAGATGTCTTGGAGCCCTTGCAGATGCAGGTGATGATGAAGCAGTTGCTGCTGCTGCTGCTGCTACTGCTGCTGTTGCCTGCTGCTGGCTAGTATTGATAATGGTGGTGATGATGATGTGTGGCTGAGACATTAGTGGCAGGAGCGCAGGGTCAAGAATCATCGTTTCTTCTCAGTCCATCTAATTTATATGTACATGGTGCCTGATCTCGGACGCACATTCAGAGATGCGTTGTGCGTGCACGAGGGCGAGCGGACGAAGTTGGTGATCGACCCAGCCGTGGTGCACACCGTGCCGTTGTACGACGATGCCTTCCACGGGTCTGGCCAGATCATGGCCAAGTGGCCGTGACAATTTGTGTCACCTTGTCCGCCATGGAAGGGCTCTTCCCCGCACCGTTTGTCATCCACCGCCACCCCACCAACGATTCAAGGACTTTGACCTTCACTTGCCAATGCCCGGTCTGCAAAGCTTCTTCAATGAGCTTCGCCCCTGCTCTGATTGCATTTTTCAACTGTATTTCGGCTTGCTACCCTCGTGACATCCGACACTTGACAAGAAGCCTTTCATCCCACAGCTCGCCTCGCCCCTCGGGTTGCCCTTTCCTGATCCACGTAACCCCGACGCATCCCAAGAACCGTTGCGCATAGCACCGCCTCTCAGTGACCAGCGCCATGAAGTTTGGCCGCCGCTTACAATCCGGCCTCATGGAGAATGGCCTGGAGGGCTACTACATCAACTACAACATGCTCAAACAGATTGTCATCCGCCTGAGCGACCCAGACGACAAGAAATATTTGTCTGAGGACATGATCAACCTCTTTGTCTCCACCTTGCAAACGGATGTAGCTCGCGCAGACTGTAAGTTCCCTCGTTTTCTCCCCCCGCGTTGGTACCAGAGAATACATGAAACCTGGCCGAGCGCAATGCTGCTGGCCATTCGTCAAACACCAGCTCTGCGCCTGCGGCTATCCGTCTTCTTCATCTTGATTTGTTTTTGTTTTTTTTGTTTTTTTTCCTCGCCTCCCCAATAGCCTTTGTGCTGCGCGAACTTAATCTGTATGAGCAGCTTGCCTATGATCAGGCCGAAGGGTCCCTCACGCGACGCCTCGAGAAACAACTCCGTCTTCATGACTACCAAGATTGCGTGCGTTGCTCTCGCGGCCAGTCTTTCCTTCCATGCCTCGGACCGATGCGCGCGCACCCCCCTTCTCATACCCGTTTTGTATCTGCTGCATGCACGGTGTTTCAGGATCCATCCGTGTCCAAGGACAAGGCCGCAGAGCGGCTGCTACGCACCATGGTGCTCATCCAAGAACAACTTGCGGCCATTGACAGGTTTATTGCCGTCAACAAAGTTGCGCTGCACAAAATTCTCAAGAAGTTTGACCGCCGCGTACTCTCCTTGCTGGCCAAGGGCGAGCGCGCCTCCCCAGACGAGGGCGTGGAAACTATTGATGACATGCCCGATCCCGACAAGATTCGAGTGCTCCAAGAGCGCCTCGCCACCATTCAATTGACTTGCGCCGAAGACACCTGCGTAGAGCGCATCACCCAGTGTCGCCAGGCCATGCGCAAGGTCAGGCTGGCTTGAACCTCCTATCTCGTCTCCATTTTCGTGGTATCATGGCACGCGCACCCTCTGCTGATGCTGCAACACGTTGCCTCATGATGATCCTCTTGTACAACAACTTTTCTGGCACTCACTAGGTGGAACACTACGTCCTTGCGCGTTCGCTGTCCTTTTACGGCTACGTGCAAGAGCTGCGCCTTCAGCATTGGTCTGCGCGCTTTGATTACGACTACCAACAGTCGACGCTGCGCGCATTTGAAGAGAGCAATGCGCCGCTCCAGCAGGTGGCGCGCTGGTTCAACTTTAAAGAAACCGTCCAGCCCTCAGTCATTCTGCTGTTGAACATTCTTATTCCGATCATCACCGTCGCCATCGTCTACCCCGTCTCCGCTTCAGTCATTATCAACGACAAGAATCAAACCATCTTTGATACTCAGGGTATGTTTGGCTGATATACGGGCTTACGGAAAACAGAAGCAAACCCATCAGGCAGGATCGTCACTGCATCGTCATAGCTTATGGACCTGGTCGTATAGGCTATTTCATCTCCTCGGCCATCACCATCCCACCAGCCAGTCACATTGGCACGCTTGGTCTCTCCATTTCTTGCATGTGCATTCTGATCAACGCTCTCGTCCGTTTTCGAGTACGTTTTTATGGCAACCGCACCACCCTTCACTGCCGACGGGTTTGTTGTTTTAAAGACCATGCGTCGCTTTTTCATCTCACATTCAAATGACCATCCCGCCTTGCCTGACACCTTTCAGTTACGCCAACGTCAACTGCTAGGACGCGGCTCTTTCATGTCTGGCATGGCATTCACCGTCTGTTGCATCTCTACACTAGCTGGTCTGGGTGTGGCGTCCTTTCAGCTGCACTTGAGCGTGGTACCACACGACATTTTTGCTCTGATATTCTTTGCCATGGGCGTGTTGTATCTCGCCTTGGAGTGTTATATGGACTGGATCTATGAGGTGAGATGTGACTCTAACCTTCTAGTCCTGGTGTGAGCCTCCTTCCTCCTGTTGTGTTGCTTTCACTCATTCTCGTCCTTCGCGGTGGCTCTCGTCGCTGGCTTCTCTTTTTTTTTTTTTTTTTTTGCAGCTCGAAACCAGACGCATGCGCGTATTCCGCCTGTCATTGGTGGCAACAGCTACCTTATGTGTAACCATTATGTTTATTTTCATGTTTTTGGGTCAGCCATCCCCCGAGTTTCCGGGCTACAACATGGATCTGCTCTTGATCTCCGCCATTGCAGAAATTATCGGCTTTGGCGCTTTCCTGGTCTACTTTACCACCTTCTTTCCTTCCTTTGCCCATACACGCATTCATGCCGTGCTGGTGCAAAAGGAGGTCCGCCGCGCTGCTCTACGCCCTGTCCTGCCCGACAAGGGACTGCGCCACACTTCCATTTCCGCTTTGATGACATCGCCAACTGAGAAACGCAACCGAACCCACTCGGTGCTTGACAACTTTGTTGATGCTGTATGTTTCTAGCCCGCCATACTTGTCGAGAGTCCATGCGTAGCTTGGCACAGCTCACATGAGTACTCATTTCCATAGGCGTCAACCTCGCTGGATCAGAAGGTGCAAAGCATTTTTTCCACATCCAAGGAAGATGAGTCAACAGCCGTCCGCGACGCTACGACCAAGGAAGCCAATCTCACCACCATCCAGGAGTAAGAAAGATGGTTGTTTTGCGTGGTCTGTACGAACGTGAGAAAATTGTCTTCCAAGGGACATGGTGCGGGGCGCCATACATACTCGAGCGTGCCGCCCATCATGATTATGAGCATCGAGTTTTGCTCTTTGGCGCTTCGTCAACAATCGATAAGAGAAACATGAAAGGGTTTTCAACAAAAAGCAGAGCAAGGCCTGGACATTGATCGGTTTGATGTCTAACTCAATTACTTGCACAAAGCAAGCGCCCCGACAAACAAGTCATTTCTGTCAGGCAGAGCGCCAAGCTTGGACCGCTCTCAATCTTCCTTCATATCTCGCCCAGCGAGCATTGAGGCACGATCCACGTCAAGCGCAGCAGTGCTTCTGACCAGCACGATTTTGGGGAGGGGAGTGTGCATCACATTGCAATAGTAAACTCACAACATGAGTCGCTGCAACAGTGAAGAATAGAGCCTTATCGAAGAATTGGCAACATTATAGATGCTTCCCATCAATGGTCAGGCGACGTTCTGGCATGCGTGCCATGATGCGCGTGCGATATTCCTTTTGTTGCGCCAAAGGATTGCCCTATACCAAACACGCATCACCACCATCGTCATCAATCAGAATGAGGATGGGTGAAAAAAAAAAAAGGTGCAATGATGACCCAATGCTTGCTGACCTCTAGCAACAAGGATCTCAGCAGCGGCAAGTTAATCAGAGCAGCACATGCGGACTCCGAGGCCAGGCGATTATGGCGCACATCCAGCTTCTGCAGATTCCCCAGACGCTCCAAGCCTACATCGTCGCTCATTGTCGCAAAGTGAGCAACCCTGAGGGAATGTGTACTTGGGGCTAAGAGTTGTCGACGACCATCAACTCCATTCTCGCACCTTTGAGGGAGGATAGGAAATTGTGAGCCAAGCACAGCTCAACAAGGTTGGGCGCCACCACAGAAAAATGTGACGCGGAGCGCGGAGGCATCCAAGCACTGTGGTTCGCGGAACGCCATGCAACAACCGTGTCAGCAAGTTTGTGCGATGTCAGGCCAAGCCGATTTGAGACATTGCAAATAAGCAAACATTACTACCTGCTGGCTTCGCTGGTGATGCTCGCACGACGACCATTGTAGTAGTTGGGACGCGCAGGCATGGCCACGTCACCCCTCGAAGTTGTCACGCTCGAGTTTGAGGACACGAGTGAGTCCGCACGGCGTCGGTTCAAGGATGCACTGTGCAGCATGGCGTCCACTTGACCGCCCGACGTACGGCCAGGGCTTTGGCCTGTAGCTTCTGCCGAGCTGGTGCGTAGGCTTGATGAAGAATTGCCACTAGTGTGCTCCAAACGTCGGTCTTGCTGTTCTTGACGCGCCAACGCAGCCGAGGCTGCCACGACCTGTTGTACGGCCTCGGTCATGATCAACGATCCTGAAACCTGTTGCACCCCGGACAAAGAATGGGAGGCATGAACGACAGGGCACACTCAGCGACCATAAAAATAGAGCTGAGGTTGATTGTTGATTGCGAGCGTGTTCGTACCTCCTCATCGCTGCTGTCGGCCAAAAAGTCATCTGAATCATCGTCGGCTGCGACAAGTCGCTGGCTTGAGGACGTGGACGTGTCAAGGAGCTGGAAGTATGCAAGCAACAGGCATGATCAGAGGGAAGTTCCACGAGAGCAATAGTAACCCAGGCGAATGATCACGCAAAAAGAGAGTCGGACAAACCGACCAAAGAATCCAGCTGCTCCGCAGTGTCCTCTACTGGAGTCTCGTGGTAATTGGCAATGACGCGTTTGGATGAAATGCGGCGAGGCTGCGCCGTGCGTGCTGCAGCCAGTTCACTCAGTGCCGATGAGGCCCTGCAAGGAGGGGCATGCAGTGAGACGGCATGGGTGGGTGGAATTGATTCAAGTGGTTGCAAGTTTTGCTTGAAACATTTGCTTGATACATGATCCCCACATACGTTGAGACATGGATTTGGCGAGACTGGGGGGCCCGCGCGGGGCTGGAACGGGTTGAAGAGGGGGGTGAGTATGCAGGAGAGGTGCCAAGCGCGGCGGGCTCGGTGGGTGCTTGCTGGCGCAAACGCTACCACACAAAATAGCAACGTACATGCCGGGATGTCAAGTCAAGTGAGCGTGTCACGGCATCCAAACTACACGCAACCAGGGATGCCATACCTCAGCACGTTGTCGCTGCAGCTCGTCCAAGGGTGCATCGGGATTGTGGGTGGAAATCAAATGGGGAGCATCGTAGCTGCGATTTTGACGTGGGAAAAAAAAGCGCGGTTAGCCGAGGCGCACACCAGCGACGGGATACCGCTATCTGAGCTCTTGCGTTGACGGGCGCTCGGATCAAAACAGCATCATCAGCACTCCTTGTCAGCACGCCTGACCTTGGAGGCGCGGTGTTTGCGGGGGTCGGCATAATGACGGGGGGGGCAATAGCTGCATCGTCAACACTGCTCGGTTGACGTTGGAGACGAAGCTGCTGGCGCACCGTTTCCCGGGCGGCCACTGCGGCACTGCTGGCATTGCTGCCACCTGTGGCTCGCCTGGGACTTTCTGCTGCACTGCACGGTGGTAGCAGGGTATAACTGTGAGGCAAGCGAATCGCTACCGATACGCAGCAGCCCCTTTGGAGGTGAAGCGCTTTGACTGCAGGCTAGAAAAGGACAAGGGATTATAAGAAGCATTTGAGGAAAAAAAGGAGATCGAGGCATACCTGCGTCCGGCTACCGATTTTGCCGAGGGGAAAGAAGCCACCCTAATTGAAAAACACAAACAGGAAAGAATAAAACGGCTCGTGTGAGGCGACATAGGGGCATGTGACTCTCGATACATGGACGGGTGGTCACTCGATGATCGCACTCTTCATCCCCGATGGTTGGTGCAATCATGCTGGTGATGATGTTGTTGGAAAGATTGAGCCGGGTCAAATGCTCCAATACAAGCCCCTACACCAGATCGCAGAGTGAGCTTGCTTTCTGATGCAAATTCAAACGGGAGTGGCCGAACGAACCTTGTACAGCCAATGATTGAGGTTTTCAATCTGATTACTGGAAAGATCGAGAACTCGAAGACCGAGCGTGAGCTCTAGACAGTGGGGGTCGACACCGGATATCCTAAGCGATCCGAGCGGCAGCCGGATAGAAAGAGTTGAGTCTGCTGATTTGCACCCCCAGCGTTCAAGGTCGTTGGTTCATGTTCTTACTCATTGTGCGAAATATCAAGACTACGCAGGCTGTGCCAGGGCCGCACGACCGTATGGTGTTGTGCAAATCGCGAAATTTGAGTTGCTCGCCAAGATTCTGCTTGACTACGCGACGGCAACGCAAGCGGATGGCAGTGTAAGGTGACACAGCAGGCGCGGACGCGAGGTGTCTCCATGAAAGCGGGCGGTCTGTTGGGTAGAACTATGCTGATGGCAGCACGCGGAAGGGCCGATACCAACCTGGAGTTGGCTGTGCTGGGATCCTTGTGTCGTGTTGCAATGGGATCGCGCAACAGTTGCCGCATGTTTGATAGTTTGGCGTGGATGCAGCTATTCGGATGACGTCGTGAGGGTACGCTGGCAGGAACCCAGAATGCTGGGTTCTTAACCACGACCGGTGCTTGAACCAAGGTATGCTTACCGAAGAGCCTCAAGATTGCTGTGCACGGCGCTCAAGCCACGCAGCTTACTGCCGAGGTGGTGCGAAAGCTGGCGTGGACCAAGAGGCAGGGATTGAATGAGTGAGCCGAGTGTCCATTTCTGAGAGCGGCTGCACACGAGTCGGTGGCCCCACCTCCAGGATGTGCAGGGACCCAAAGATGGAAAGGTCGATGAGCGTACTATCGATGGGTTGAACTGTGGGGATACAATCGCAGCCGATCGGTCAAATCTGGCAGAGTCTGGTGAAGGCTCACAGCAATGGTAACGGCCCAAAGTAGAACCCACCATCCTTTGGGCCTATGCTCGGATCGCGACGAGGATGGATGCAGACGTGCTTGACCTTTTGAAGAAACTCATACAGGAAGGGCAAATCGTCTGGGTTTCCATACGTGCTGGGGTCGCTCGTCATGCGGCTCTTGGGCACAACCGCATCCATGGGCAGCAGGCGTCGTCGGGCAGCACAGCGACACTGATTGGGTGTGAGGCGAAAGGGTGTCTGTTGCTGCAAAAGCTCGTGGGAGTGTCGGCGAAAATGTGCAGAGAGCTTGGCGGCCACGGCCACAACATCATGCTGATACACTTCGAGAAACTGAGCGCGGTGCGGGTGGCACGGCACGTGAGAAGTGATCGGGACCAGTTTGGAAAGGTCGCTGCCGGCAAAACAATGAGGCAAGGCAGAACAGAAGAAAGGATCAGGCATACCTTGAGTAGGGGTACGGCAAACGCTAGGTCTTCATGGCCGTGGATCAGGCGTTGAAGATAGGCTTGCAAGGATTCTCGGCGCGCGAGCACCACACTGGCCGAAAGACCTCCTGTAAGCGTGCATGACGTGGGGTTGCGGGTAAGATTCAGACCAAGATGGCAGAGCAAAGAACATTTTTGGTGAGTCGTCAAGAGGAACAGGATGCGCGCAATGGTTGGACTCACCCGTGAGACGCTTGGCTGGCAAGAGGCTCTTCTTGACGAGTTTGAGGCGGAGGAGCTGCTGGTGCAGCTCATTAAACTGGCTGAAGCGGCGAACCAGGGTCCACTGTTCTGAGGCCGTCGCCACAGCAATTTCATAAACCTGTTTGAATTAGGTGCCAGTGCAACAGAAAGAGTGAGATATGCCTTTGCAATCAAGGCGCTCTGCCACGCAGTATGGCTCGGGCCACAAACGCACGACGTGGGGGCTCGGAAGGGATCGCATGCTCGTTGAAATGATGGATATGTCGCGCACGCGCATCTCTTGTCGAAACCGACGTTCTTCTTCATCTAAACAGCCATTGCAATCGTGAGTTGGCCATCAAGCTCCTCTCTCTATCAAGCCCTGGCCTTCTTCTCAGTGCAAGCCATCGCCTCTCCAGAAAATTTGGCCAGCCAAATCGTAGGCTTCCTCCCCGCCCGGCCCCCGCGGCCCGTCATTCGTCATAGATCAAGCCTCAACGCATGCAAGAGCCAACCACACCCCCAGCACAATCTCATACTTTGCATAGATTGTGGTGTCAACCCCCATCCTCCACTGCTGCCACCACCGCCGCCGCCTCCACCGCCGCCGCCGGCGGGCAGGGCGTCGCTCAACGAGGTCATCTCGAACAGAAAAATAAAATAAAATAAATTTGAAAACCAAAAAAGTTGATGACGTTGTTGTAGCTCTGATTTAGAAGTAAAATACTTTATATTTATAAGGCAGAGATGGCCTCAAGCCGGATAATGATAAGTATAATAATACATGTAATAGGAATAACAGCAACCCCATTGACTGTGGTGCTCTTCGAAAGATGCGCGGCATGCATGCGGCTGGGCGCTGGGTCAGAGGCGTGAAAGTGGCTCTCGGGGATGAGAAAGGAAAAGAGTCGACTTGAAGGAGCGTTAGAATATTGACGCGTGCCATTCATCAACAAAAGAGGGGGGTGGAGGCGGTGTTACCAGATGGTGAGTGGTAGAAAGCCTCTGCAAGTTGGAGCACCACAGCGGCAGGGCTTGGCGCTCAAGGCCAACTCGGGGGCCGTAACGTGGCGTTTGTGACGTGGGGCGCCCGTGTCGGTATCTGCAGGTAATGTGGTGGCAATTTTGGCGCTTGGTGGCGCGCCGCCGTAGTCAAAGGTGAGCTCCGTCTCCGCAGGAATGTCGGTGAGGGCGAAAAAGGCCAGGCGTGGTACAAAGCCAAGCCGAACGGGCCGCAGCTCAAGGTTTGGCGCACAGCTGTGATTGATGAAGCGTGTGAGATTGCCGTACTCTTTGGCATCGACCGCCGTGGTGAGAACGCCGCGTTGCGTGTGCTCGCGCAGAACGAGAAGGTAGGTGTGCACGGGACTGACTGCGTCTGCAGCAGAATCTCGGGCTCGGGCGGTGGCAACATTCACAAGCTGGCCGGTATAATGCCCCACATAGGTACCGACGGGGATGCGAGTGCCGGTTAGGAGCCCATGTCCCCGCTCTGAAGTCCACACGAGACGAATATCCAGCGCCGTCGGTTGTTGTGTGGTACGGCCAGCACGGCATGTAGCTACGTCACAGGCACAATTGTCGTTGCACTCGTAGTAGCGCGCTCGTCCATTACAAAGGCACGAACAGGTCTCCGGCGCACAAGGCCCCGTGCAACTGCAGCCCGAGTAAACATTATTCCGGCCCTGCAAGCGAGCAGGCAGCATCACTTCGTCCACGCTCGTGTAGGGTGCCGGTGTCGGCATTGGCTGCGTGACAGCATTCCCATCATCACCTTTGCCGGCCTCGCTGCCCCGCACCACCTGGTCCATGTCCAGCTCAATGCAAGACGACTCTTCCCCTCGCCTTGCACCGACGCCTGCCCTGCCCCTCCCCGTCGTCGTTCTCGCCGCCAACTTGTGAATGCCACACGACGTGACATCAAAATGATGACATTGTTATCTGACATTCTGACAATGAGCTGATCTGTCTGACAATGATCCAAGCGATGCGCGTCGATAGTTTCGGCGATGTCTCGGCGGATGGGTGAGAGGACCTTGTCACCCTCTATCACCCTCGGATCGATGGTTATACTGGCAGTTTGTTTGATTGCGTGCCACCGCCGCTCCGGTATGGTCTGCTTGTCGACGCTGACATGTTGTTATGATGCTTCGCATTTCATCTGCCGTGGAACATTGCGCGTGACCGTTGTTTAGGGAAGTGGTGGCTGGTTTGGATTCTCATTTGGGTATCGACATCAGACGAGTAGAACAATGCCAGAGCCGTGTCGGTCACGGTGATAGACGCACGGCGAATGAGGATACAATGTCATGTCAAGCATAGCGAACACTCTAGGGACAACAACTCCAGAGCAAAGGCACCGAGGCCAAAGCAACAAACCCGAACAGCATGCCCAAAAGCACAAAGTGGAGGGTGGCCTGCAATCATATGAGCATTCCCATCATCAAAAAAGAAAATTTAATGGCCCTTAGCAAATGAATTTGTTGTGGTGACAGAATTGGCCTTGATTCTGCAATTGTGAGTGGATCACCGGTCGACGAATTCGTCTCTGTGTATCACATATTGACGGCCGTCCCACGACGCCCGGGCACGAATGGGTTGCTGTGTTCGGTCACAACAATCAGCAGCAGCGCAACTCACGGCTTTTGGAACTCTTACGACTTGATGCGACCACTGCTCGCACACTGCCCCACACATCATGCGGAGCGTCATCTGACGTGGTCGCCGTGTGGCTGTAAACGCCATCTGTCTTATAATGGTGGGTGGTTCTCGTGATTGGGTGGTACAGGCGCGAGCAATGCTCTCGTGTATCACGGTTCCCACACACTCTCACACAGAGCCGCCCACCAACGCCCTCTGCCTCTATGCCTGCCTTGAGCCGAGATCCCCCTCTGGTACAATCAAAACAAACCCCCTCCCCCCCAAAAAAAAGAAACGCCACACTCGACGGCTTGTGGACGGAAGCGCTTTGACGCTGACCGCCTGCCCTCACCTGGGGGCTCGAGCCGCCTCGGGGTATTTTCCCCCAAAGCGCCCCGTGGTTACCTTTCTCTTTCTACTTTGAGTATCATCACCCGGCTTCATACTCATGCGTGTGCTACACCCAGTGCGTCGGCTTTGCCGGCGCCCGCGATCGTCGTGCTCAAACAAAACATCAATGTTGCTGCTGGCTGCCTTTGTGACCCTGTTGGCTCACATCGCCCAAGGCTTACCCGTGACGGATGACGCCATGGCAAAACTGCTGGGATCAAACAGCACCCATTTTGTGCGCGAAATTTACGGACAGCGGCACGCCATCTTCCCTGCTCCGCTCGCGCCCACGGACAATTGGCTCGCTCGCGATCCGCTCTTGAATTCGTTTGCGGCCGAGGCCGATCTCAACCGATCGCTGGCCACACTGGTCAACCTTTACGGACGCAGCCAAGATGCAATCGCTTTTCGTGACCGTCACGCTGCTAATGTACCACTTGATACACTCCTGGAGCGCGTGTCCTTGGAACACCTCTACGACTACCTCGTCCAGCACGGCTATTCGGTGGTGATCCGTGAAGAGTATTTTCCCACATACACCCAAACAAGCCTTGAAGAGCTGATTCAGACGGCTTTTGGCACCTCGACCGTCACCTCGCATGTGTATCTCTCGGGCAGCGAGGCTCATGCTCTCAACCCCCACACCGATCCGTATGTCATCCGGGCACCTTGAACGCGCTTGAATCACCTTGACCCGCAATTAACCCTGGTCCCCCAACGTGTTGATAGTTACGACGTACTGGTCCTGCACCTGCATGGCCAGAAGCATTGGACCGTCTGTCATCCGTTGGATTCCAGCCCCGAGTGGGCCGATGCGTCCCAAGCTCAGCTGGCCCAGCTCTTTGAGATCCAGCGCAAGAGTGTCGACGGTCAGGCCAATGCTTTCACCGTGTGGTCTTTCGCATCACGTCCTTGAAAATCGCAGCTGACCTCTACCCCACCATTCTCCATGTGTGTGTTAGGCTGCACAAATTTTGACATTGCAGAGACGGACAAGATGCGCTGCGAGCATTTCACCCTCAGTCCAGGCGATGTACTCTACCTGCCAAAGTCCACCATCCACTTCGCCACAACATCGCCCAACACAACTACCGCGCATATCACCTTGTCCTTGGAGCGACAGGGCCAATCTTGGATTGATCTCGTCCGCCGTGCATGTGCGGTCCTTGACAACCAGGCTTGCACCGTTATCGAGAGTACCCTTGCCTCGCTAGAGACTTCGCCCTCTGGCCTCCGCTGGCTTGAGCTGGCCACGTTTCCCACGGACGAGCCGTGTCAGATGGCCCAAAAGCGCCTACTTGGTTTCGAAAAGGACTCTCTGCGTACGCTCGTGGCCCAGGACCCACAACTCAGCTTCACCTACGTGACCTCCAAGGATATCTTGACCACCCTTCAGCGCTTGGCCAGCTGCACCGCCTCTTTGGGTTGGGATTCGCGAGAACGTGAAGTAACTCTTGAGGGCCTTCTCACCAACCCAGCAACCCATTACGACGTACGCTCCGCACATGCTTGTGTTCGTCTTGGCGACTGCCGAATACGCGCACTCACAATTGACCCATCGGCAGATTGTCGAACGTCACCGCCGCTCGGCTCCCTGGACGGCACCCGGCAATTCTCTTGGTGGCTCTTGCAATGGTTGTGTCTACTACGAGTGCACGTATGTTCAACACGTTGCATTTTTTTTTTTTTTTTTGCTTTGCCAGTCGGGCGGCCACCTCACGCTATTTCAAAATGCTACTACTGCAGTAATGCCTGCGCCAGTAGCTGCAACAGCTATGTATGTCTTTTTTCAAGCCAAGCTGCAGAAAAATAAGCAGGCGTCAACTCATCAGCGTACCTTGGCTCTCGCCAAATATAGGGCTGCAATGGCGGTTGTGACAGTAGCTGTGACAATAGCTGCAGCTTTTGGGTACGCCAAGGCACACCAGAGGCTTGTCCAATCACTTGAAATGATATTGTCGAGCTTTATTGTATTCATACTGACCCCCGGCGCCTCTTGCTTTCCTTTCATAATTAGGGAAACAGTTGCAATAGCGGGTGGGTATTTGGACCTCTTGAAAGTGACTAAGGTCTTAACTTACTTTGAAACCCCGCGCGCCTGTGACAGTTGTGACAGTAGCTGCGATGACTCATGCTCCACCAACTGTGCCACCTGCACGGGAGGCTGTGTATGTTCTATGTGTCCAAGTTGCCGGCTTGCAAAGCACGTGAAAACGAACAATGACTGCCTCCACCACCGACTGTTCGCCATGTTACGAATAGAACTCGGGCAAGACGCGATGCAGCTCCTGCAATTGCCGCGCTGGCCACTACTTTCAGGGGGGTAACAGTCTCAACATTGCCACCAGCGGGTGTCGAGGTAGGCGCTCGTGAAATTACGCATGTCCTTTGCATTTCATCATCACGACTCAATGCACCAGATCTCTCTCATCTTCTGAACAGATTGCACAGCTGGAAAATATCAAGATCAGACAAGCCACTTGTCACTTTCTTGCAAAAACTGTGCAGCAGGCACATACAGTGGTAGCACGTCGCGCACAAGCCCGTGTTCAACCTGCCCCTCGGTGGGTAGTCGTGGAACAAAAGCATTCCCTTCCAATGCTCGAGAGTGTGATCATTTTCTAACCACCTGTTATTGTCAACACCTTGCTTACCGGGGTTGACGATTGGTTTTCTTCCAGGGTACCTTTCAACCGTCCACGGGCGCCACATCATGCCTGTCATGCTCCAGTAGCGGCACCAAGTGCAACACGGGTCGCTACACCACAGGTTGTGCAGGCGCTTCCGCTGGAAGTTGCACGGCATGTGCAACCAACTACTATCAGTCTCAAAACAGTGTATACAAGACGGCCTGCACACAGTGCTCTACTTGCAATGCCGGTCAATCCTACACGTGCAACGCCAACTCAGGACTTGCATGCACGGTTTGTGTTGCTTAGAAAGAGTGAACAATACTGGCACAGGTGACAGCCTCACCCTTGCGCGCTTACATGATCTGGTCTCTGTAGGCATGTGGAGTGGGCACATATCAAGCTTCCAACGCCCACCGCAGCACCAGCTGTTTGGCTCAAAACACATGCGGAGCAGGCTCTTATTTTTCGGGTAACATCTTCTCGGCCGGCTCGTGCACCACTTGCAGTTACGGTACCTACATTGCCACCTCTGCCCACCGCACTACCTCGTGCACGCCGTGGCCCACCTGTCCGGCGGGCACCTTCAAGTCTGGAGCCACCACATCAAGTGGTGGCTCGTGTGCCGCATGTGGCAGTGGAACTTTTCAAACTACAAACAGTCACATCCTGACGTCTTGCTCTTCTTGCGCCGCCACGGGCAAGGTCTGCGGCACTGGCCAGTATCAATCGGGTTGTGCTGGTCCATCTGCTGGTGCCTGCTCCTCCTGCCCAGCCAACACCTATCAAGCCTCTTCCTCGCACCGCCTGGCCAGCTGCACAAACTGCAGAACGTGTGGCAAAGGCCAGTATCTTGCCAATTGCGCTGGTGCCACTGGCCCGGGCATTTGTCAAGTGTGCAACTCAGGCACCTATCAGAGCCAAACTGCACACCAAGAACGCACCTGCCCATCCTGCGCTTCCTGCAGTCCGGGCTATTATCGTGACGGTTGCGGTGGTGAAAGCGCAGGAACCTGCGTTGCCTGCGCGAGCGGATTCTACCAAAGCCAGCAGGTCGGACTGCGTCAGCCTCTTTCCAAGCCCCGCATAGATCAAGAATCCGCCTTCTCACACCTTGAATGCCTCTTTTGTGCGTATGTGCTTTCTCCACTTGTCCTCCTCTGCTTCTGCCCCACCACAATCGCAGACATACGCTACATCTTGCTACCCATGCCCTGGCTGCCCGAGTGGCTACACCCGCACTGGCTGTGGGGGCTCCGCAGAGGGCACCTGCGTGGGTCTAGTCTGCCCCGCTTTGCCCGCAGTCAGTAGCGCCGTGCTCACGTACAGCAATTCAGAGCGACGCTATCCCGTTATCGCAACGTTTGCGTAAGTGCACCTGCCGGCTCGTTGAGAGGCGTGTTGTCAGTCAGGCTTGCCTCGCGAGTAGCCTCATGTCGTTCCTCCTGTGTTGATCTTGATCCTGTTCCAGCTGTGTTGCGGGATTCGAGCAGACCGGTGGGGATGCAAGTCGCTCGTGCACACCGGCGCTGACCTGGGCAGGAGCAGAAATCATTTGCACCCGTGTCTCTTGTGGGGACCTGCCCGCGCTCAGCAATGGCTTTGTGGACACGAGCGGTGGCGTTGATTTTGAGAGCGTGGCCACGTTTTCTTGCGATGAGGGTTATACCCGAAGCGGCCCGGCGAGCCGCACCTGCCAAGCCAGCGGCGAATGGTCCGGCTCCGCGCCCATGTGCGTGGCCTTACCTTGCCCATCCCTGCCCGTGTTTGCTCATGGGTCGGCGACTAGCTCGAGCAGCAACCCGATCGTGGGTGCGACCCTCACTTACGCATGTGATGCCGGCTACACTCTTT